ATTTTCAGTATTCAACAACCTCTCATTTTCATTGAAATATTTTTCAAATGTTGAATTCATTTTTAAATTTTTTTTTTCAAAAAGAAATGAATGGCCAATCATATGTTAATAAAAATCCGCCCCATATTGTTTAAATGGATAATCATTATAATTTTACATGTGTATGTTGTATGTGAAATTGAAATATTAAGCAAGATTTTAGCAGTGAGCCTTTTTATGAAATTTTTTGTAATATACAAAAAAAAAAAAAATTTAAACCTGAGATTCTCATATATTGTTTTTGCTATTTTTAAATTTGACCAAGACCTGGTTTACACTTTTTATACTATAATTATTCTGTTTAATTTTAGAGTAATAATTTCCTTACCTATACTCAATGGTTTACTACTTGAAATTTTTTGTCATTAATTCCCATACCAAAAGCATTATAGTTGCAATCATGATCTGATTGTGTCATCTCCATATTATTATAAACTTCCTAATGATATGTAAGGTATTACTTTGAATTTCTAGATAGGGTTGTTGATGGTCTGGTTGGGTCAGAGACTGCTCAGCCTAATAAAGAACTAGTCCATTGGACCAGTCCAAGACTGCACTCCAGATTGTAGATGAAATTTTACTATAATACTAATCTTGTGCTTGGTTCAATGGCTTTATCTTACAATCTTACATGATCCATTAATTGTTGGTTTATCTTAACTATTTTTATCTTGCAATCTTACATAATCCATTAATTATTTTATCCTACATTCTTACATGGTCCATGTGTGGTTATCTTTCTTAGATATATTTATATTATGATCATGATGTTTTATTAATTAATTGTTGGTTACAATCAACAATTGGTTTAGATACATGTTTAAAATTTGATAAAATTCACAGATTTATTTCACAATTATAATATAAGGCTGTGTAAATTTTTTTTTCTTTTCAGGGGCTACATATTAATTTTCATTATTTTTAAATAATAAGAATGCATAAAATTCAAACCCTCTTAACTTTTGAAGGAAACAATTTATAAGCTTTAAATTAAAGACACACATTATCGAGTCATCATCAAATGGAGATATGATGCCCTTTTTTTATTAGTTAATATGAAAATAAAAAAAAAACTCTTTCCATATTTTCATTTGATGATGACTCAATAATGTGTCTTTAATTTAAAGCTTATAAATTGTTTCCTTCAAAAGTTAAGAGGGTTTGAATTTTGTGTTTCACTATAGTGATGATCATGCAACTTCAAACCACTAAGATTCTCCATTTTTGCAATCTTTAGAACCTGAGCAACAATAAATAGTGTTTTTTTTAAAGTTGCACATTTTGATGCACTGGATCCACTGTGACACGTACTGTAGATTATGTCGATCATTTTATTTTTTTATTTTTTTACGACATCGGATGATAATTTATTATTACTATTACTATTATTGAAATAATAAATTTTTTTAAAATGCATCAATTATTATTTAAAAAAGAATTAGTAATTCGTCCACTACTACAAAGACCTTTAATAGCAGCCTTCTCACCAATCTTTTCGTCACAATCACGTTATTATACTGGTAAAACTGAAGGAAACATTCGTGCTGGTAAGACCGCTTTTTCAACGAAAGAAAAGGCTATTGAAGATCAATGGATTAAAACTCATGTATGTGTTTGTGAATGACCAAGGAAATTAATAACGGTTATTAATGATCTAATATTAATCTGAATTTTTATAGGACGCTGAAAAAATAAAACAGCTATACGAAGAACTTATGAAACAAAAGAAAAAAATTGATGAACTTGAAGGACATATTGACGAAATTAAAAGTAAAAAAGAATAGTTAATTATTGTTTTTACATGCTGTAAAAGAATAAATTCAATCCAATTTATAATTAAGCTTTTAATATAACAAATAAAGAACCTTATTCTTTATATCATAATATTTTTAATAATTGATTATAAAATATATTTTGATTTTATTACTGGCATTGATAATAATTTTGATAAACTTTAATAAATGCTGAATTATACAAAAAAAAAACAATTTCAAATAAAATGTTTTTAATCTAAATAAATAAATAAAAATTAATTAATTAATTAATACCACTAATACTACTACTAATAATGTATAATTATGATTTTTTTTTTTTAATATTGTTTTTTTTTATTTCCTTTTACTTTTTTCATTTATCACTGCTACATCTTCCTCAGACGTTTCTCCTTCTTCCTCCTCTTCTCCTTCGTCATCATCATCATCATCATCATCATCATCATTATCATCATCGTCGTCGTCGTCGTTGTCGTCATCGTCATCGTCATCACTCTCCTCCTCCTCTTCCTCCTCCTCTTCCTCCTCCTCTCCCTCATCTTCTCCCTCATCATCATCTTCTTCTTCTTCTTCTTCATCACTTTCTGAAGTTTCATCTCCAATAGAGTAATATTGCAGATCTATATAATGCAGATAAATTATTAAAATTAGTAATTTAATAATATAATAAATCTAATTTATATATTTATGTGCGTGGATGTGGGAATAATAATTAATACCTGATTTTTCATCGAAAGTTTCTTTATCTGATTCATAAAATCTTTCAAGATCATAAACATCTTTACGTTTACTAGTATATTTTTTGTCATAAGCGGAGAACGATGATGATGATGGTGGTGGATAATGAGCATAACCTCCAAATGAATCACTCCCAAATCCTTTTATCACTTGACTTTTATCCCAGTATTCATCCTAATAATAATAATTTATAAATTAATCAAGATCCTAGTAATATTATGAAATATATTATCGTATTAATAAACTAACCGCCGTGTTACGTAAGGATCCATCGGGTTTTTCAGTTGGCCAATCAGGAATTGGTTCATAGCCAGGTATAGTACGATTAAGTACAAGAGCCATTGAACCAATAGTAAAACGATCACGTCCTAAAAATTAAAATGATTTTATTTTTTAAATAATAATTTGTTTATACTATATATAATATAAATTTAATAATTAATTTACCAGCTGATGCACTTTCTTCAGAAGGAGCTTCCTTTTCACACAAAAGTATTGTTTTCAATTTATCCTTTAGTATACGGCTTTTATTTGGTTCATATGAAGAAATTTGTAAATCATCTTGTTGCTGTTGTGCACCACTAACATTATTGCTGCTGCTACTGCCATCACCATCACCACCACTACCATCATTGTTTTCATTATTATTATTATTATTATTATTATTATTGTTCGTTATTATCAAACCTCTTAAAAGTCTTGCTCGATCTCTAATATCATAGTTAAGATCATATCTTGCAAGATTCAAAATATATTGGAATAACAGATTAAGTGTTTGGTGATGTTGATTTGTTGGATAAAGAGAAATAAGTTTGGCACCAAGATTGATTATTTGTAATTTAGCAATATCTGCTTCGTTGGTGAAAGATTTTGCTGCTTTTCTTAACACATCAGGTGCTATTTTTTTTAAATTTTCTGCATATTGACCAACAAGCCAAAATATGCTGGCTCTAGCCATTGGTACAGTAATTTGATCTAAAGCCTTAGCTAGTTGTATAATCAAATCTGAATTATCTTGAGGTCTCAATTGTAAAAGTCTTTTGATCACCACAACTGATTCTGCCACAACAGCATCTACAGTATGAGTACAAATATGTGTATGTTAATTAATAAATTATGGGTCATATTTCTTTCCTGTAAAGAATTTTATGGGATGTTAATGATAATAATTTATAAAAATGAAAACTAACCCACCATTCTTGCTCCACAATAATTTCATTAGGCCATTAAGGCAACTTTCGGCCATTTCAGGCATTCCTATTGCACAACGTCCAATCGCTTGAATTGCTGAGGTTGCAAAATCTTTATTTGGACTTTTCACGTATTCCTAAAATTAATTATAAAATATTTGATGTTGTGAATATTTATTCGATGTAAAGAATAATTTTTTGGCATTTATTTTTATTTTTTTTATTTAATCTTAAATTAATTGATTGACTTTACTTGTAATTCTCTTAGTAAAAGTGTAATATTAGTTTCAGTTGCGATTAAGGTCATTATTTCCAATTTAAGATTACGAATAAATGATGGATCTGTTGATCTAACAAAAAATTGCTGAAGATGCTGTTCAAAAAGATACTATATGTATGTAATAAATAAATTAGAACAAAAATTTAGTAAATTCAAAAATTGTTAGAATTTAATTATTTATTTTATAAAAAATAAATAATTATTTACCGGTCTTTGAGTTGCCATAGTAGCAATATTTGCCAATACAACATGTTGAATTTCACGATGACTACGTAAAAGTCTTACTAAAGGTTTGCCTATTTTGTATGCTTCTTCGATTGGTGCCAAATGATATAAAACTTTTACTACTGACATTACTACCTAAACTTACAAATTAATTAATCAATTAATTATACATATCACAAATATTTGTTATACAGAAAATGATTATGTAATAGTAATCTTACTGCACTATTTCTACTTTGAAGAAGCGGCAAGCAAGATCTTAATATTAATTCATGATCTGGATCAAGAATCAATGTATTTTCAAATGATTCTTCGGAATTTTCAGAATCTTCTTCGTCCGAATAAAAATTTTTGGACTTTTTCTTAACTGAAGATTTTATTCCCTGATATTAAAAATTGTCACAATAATTAATTATTGAATTTTAGATTTTTAAACCAAATATACATACACACACATATATATATATATATATATAATTACTAACGTTTGGATTTGGATTTAAAAATTGAGTCCTTCCATATCTTAATAATAATCCTATGATAGCAATTTGGCCCCATTCATCTGCATCAATTAACATTCGACATAATTTTCGAAAATGTGGATGTATCAGATCAAATCTATCAGGACAGACTTCATCAAAAGCTATTATAACACTTCCTAATGTAAACGCTGAATTATCATTTAAAAGAGTTATTATGATTTCAACTAAAGCATCTTTTTGTGTAGGATCTAAACTAAACAATAATAATATAAATAAGTAAATAAATATTAATAATAAATAAAAATTAATACATTGTAAATAAATACCTGTAGCATTTAGGAATCGCATGAGCAGCAGCTTTTCTAACATAAGGTGATAAATCATTTACACATTTTTTGATAGCCAATAATACTATTGGACTTATCACTGGCACTCTAATACCAGACATTACTCTTAATGCCATTGCTCTTATCAATAAATTTTGATCTGTTAAATCTTTTTGAAAAGTATTGATTGACAACAATGCAAGATCAGGCTCTTGTTCAGCATAACGAAGCAAATATATATAAACTAATTTTCTAATTTCAAGATTTTGAGATGCAACATTCTTTACAACATCAGGAAAGAATTCCGACAGGTCGCGCCCTTTCGATATTAACTAATTAATCAATTAATATCAGATTAATATTAGCGTAACTAATACCAGTTGATTAATTAATTGGTAACATTATTAATGATATTTACTTACTGCAATCAACCTTTTCAATCCATCCATTTTTTCACGATCGTGTCTTGAATCTAATAAACGTCTAATATCTCGCATTTTCTCTTCAGAGGTCTCAAAATAATGATTAGAAGAAGTAGCCTCCAAACCAAACTCACGTGCATTCTCTACAAGCCCTTCCGATACTTTTTTTGATAATTTAGCTGCATTTTGAGCGATTGCTGCAGCTTTAGAAAAATAATAATCAGTCATATTTTTTTTTTAACGTAAATAAAGAATCAAAAGTCGCACACGGACGGTTCCTTGTAGGTTTCAATACTTTGTGCAACAATTTTAATTTTATATACCCATTTAAAGTAGGGATGTTAATCAGTCCTTTTGGGACCAGTATTTTTCAGCCCTCTTTTTTTATATATTAAATTTCGCATCCCATTCATTCCCGCAACCCAATTAGTCAATCAAATTGATTTTAGGAATAATAAATATACGTAACTTGGATTTCCTTTGTTCGATAATTAATAATTAATAATAAAAGAATAATTATAATAATGCGTGAATAGTTGTAATCCAAAATTCCTAACGTTGATCTGATTTTAAAGTGACTTTACAGATCAATATCCCAGTCGCAATAAATAGCCAGCTCTTCTTTTCATCAACTATTTTATTCGTATTGCTTTTGTTGATTTATTCAGAAATGTTTTTTGATCATTTGTCCAATATGGAGTCGACATTATAATAAATAATTTATTTTTGATCTAGACACAACTTAATAACATATTTCTTGCCAATGAATTAGCCAATTAGATGGTATGTTGAATTTTTCAATACCCTACATCACATGCGCTAATTTTGTTTGATCCCCAAAATTCAGTACGGTATGATCATAACATTATGAATACTTTATACTAGCAAAAACCCATTGGTTTTGAGGTGAGGCATTGGTTTGACGGGCTGTTGAATAGTAAAATAATTTTTTTAGCGGAGCAAATAAATTCTTTTAGGGTTAATTATCATTCTACTGACCAGTTTACACATTAAAAATACTCGTGTTTAACATCGAGACACACAATAAGGCATAAGGTTTGAGAAAAGGCCCGAAAAACCAAATCGGCTGATATGTTAACTTATTAGTGCCCAAATAATTAATGCCAAAAAAATTTTAACACTAAACTAATTATCATAAATAATAAATTTAGTATATTTATATTTATTATTATTATTCAATGATTTTATTACGATGCTAACATTGATGCTTTATTATTCCTTTGTCAAGGTTGAACCTCTTACTACTGTGGTCAAATGTTTGGTTTATATATGACTTTTTTTCTCTAGAGGATATTAATTACCAAATAATAATAATAATAAGCAATTTATCCATTGATTTATTATTAAATAATGATGATTTAATGGCCATTTTAATATTAAACTTTTTTGATTAATTAATAATAACTCGGCACCATAATAAAAGATAATAAAAATATTTATCGTTAAATCAATGCAAATTTATTCTATTTTCTTAGAGGTTGGAATCGGTCAAAAAACTTTAGTCGATTACCAGTTGGCCAGAAATTTATATAGTCGACCAAATTGGGCTTGGACAATAAAAAAGTGTTGAAATAAAAGCAAGTTTGAGTTAAAACAACACATATACATAATTTCTTGTGCAGGACATTTTTGGCTCAGCATACCCACTTTGCGTAAAAATACACTGTATATAATATACACATGATAATATAATTATATTTTATTAAATATAAGTAGATTCCTATATATTTCTATAAGCCCTATGCAAAGTTTGCACACTTAAAACATACTTATCATACCATTAAAACACACTTAATTTAAGTAGAAATTAATTGGTGTTTTGGGCATTCTTGTTTCTTGCAAATTTAAGTAGGAAATAAGCATGATTTTCTACTTATTTATTTCATACTTGAACTATATACTTAAATTACACTTAAACTATACTTATACTTGATTTATACTTGACATTTTATTTATTTTTTTAAATACAAATAAATTTTATAAATAGCAATAATGATGATAATGATAATAATAAAGTAATAATTAATTTTTTTCTCTAATTGTTGTGTGAAAATAACCCATTGTTTAACTATGAAACCATTTTGGAAGAAAGAAATATTAATTACAATGTTATATATATAATAATAATTATTAACAATTATTAATAAAGGCGCGAAAAAAAATTCTAATTTTGGAATAAAACATAATAACTATGGAAAAAAAAGTTATGCAAATTGTAAAATGTTAAAAAAACACGATACATTTGTTTACATGTTTGTTCTTTCTACTTATTGTTATTAATTAAGTCAACAAAATTGTGATTGTGCAAAAAGAGGACTGGGAAAACTCTATTGTGTGTGACTGCCAAATTAAATGACAAATCATATTAATGCGAATCTTAGTTTTTTATAATCATTTTCTGAACACATTTTAATTAAAAATTATTAATAATGCGAATCGAAATAGCTGAGAACATATGAAATTTATCTTTATTGATTATTAAAAATATTTAAAAGAAAGTTTTGTGTACTTGACTGACTAAAATGATCATAAATTAAAAATGTTTCATCATCTACTTCAATCTAACAAGGATTAATATCTAATATTAGAATAAGAGCATATTCCAAAAAATAAACTACTTATCGTGGTGTAATATGAATCGTAATGTCTCCTCTTGCAAATTCTTGAAAGTTAGGGTATGTAATAAAATTATTTTTATTATGACTTTTCATTTTTAAATTTTTAAATTTTATTTTTTATTAATAATGCAAATCAACTGTAACCAATGACATTTTTTATTTTTCTATGTCTGAGAATCAGTGTAACCGATAATTTTTTTTCTTCGAATTATATAAATTATATATATATAAAAGCGGCGACCTTTTCCATAGTGGGCTTAAATTTGATTGGCTGACGCATAATGATGATTTATTATTACGCCGATCATTACTATTAATAAATTTTTTAATGTTATCCTCAACCATCTTTTTCAAAATTTCAAGACAATTAAATGACTTTATTGACAGTATTTATATGCATAATTTATCTAGATTGAAAACTTCTATTGCCATCATAATGAATGACAAACTTGAAAAAAAAGTATATTCCCATGTTGAATTGAATATTTTTATTTGTAAAAAAATATTTATAGATGTTGAAAGCTTGCATTGAACTTTGCATCTTGTCATTACTTAAGTGACATAAATTGCACTATTAATCCTTTTTGCATAATGAAAGAATTTCAAATATTATATCATTAATATAATAATGGTGTTTTATATATTAGGATTATGTATGCTCTACCTAATGAACAACTCAAATGAGCCAAAAAATGAAAAATGGACAATTTATTGTTATTATTTTATTATGACATAAAAAATTTATTTTATTTTTGTGTAAATTTAATAAAGGATTCAAGTAATTCAATTAATTATAAAATTATTCCTTTAACTGCACTTTTTTTCTTCATAATCGTTATTATCAAATCTGAAGAATGAATGATACCAGAAATTTTATTGGCCTTGCAGATCCTCAGATTTTTGATATGCAGATCTCTTAAATTTTAATCCAGATCACAGAATCCAATTTTTTTAATAATGACCATTATAGACTTTTGATTTATACTATATTTGCCAATTTGCATAATAATTATGGTTTACCTAATGGTATGAGAATTGTAAAGAATGTAAAAATCATATACAGGTTTCTTGAAGTTGTTGTGCAGTTCGATTTTTATCATTGGAAACTGATTTCTTGTCACAAAAATCACAATTAGAAGAATAGTAGAAAATACATGGACATAAAATGGAATATCACTATGAATTAAAAGTTCGCCAGAAAGAACTGTAATTATTCATTTAAAGAATTACAGGTAACAGTATCACTTTGTAAATTAATTAATTGACAAGCACTAAATTAACTGACAAGAGTAGCCCAAAAGTTAAGCATATGTGCCAAATAATCATAATAACCACCTTGCAATATCACCACCATTTAACAAAGAATTAAAAAAAAAACTGTAAAAGTTTATTATAATAGGTGCAACATAAGACATAATTCCATAGATTTTATTTGATCAACTGGTTCACATCATAATCATGTAATATAACAATTACCTCCTTGCAATAATATATTACCACTATGTAAAAATCATTATGGATTAAATCTTTTTCATGTAATGCATTGCATAAATAATGAAGGGTCTAAATCATTATTTATTTTTTAAACAATAATAAAATTACTAGATAATCTCATCTATCCGAATGTTTCTAAACATAAATGACAATAATAATGTAAATCGTTACGTTAATAGGATTTGTTTGTGTACATTCCGGAATAGACAAACCCTTGTTATTATTTTTAAAATAAAGTTTTCATTCCAGAAAATACTATTTATTTTCATCATGTATTATAAATTCATCTTCATCAATATTATTATTATTGCACTGGTGTTCTCATCAACTTCAACTTATTCTGCTTTAATTGAACAAGATATTAATTTTGCTTGTCAAAATGGAACAAGTTTAAGATGTTGCCCTTTCCTAGCACACCAAATTTTTTCTCAACACCATTCACGTTGTGCAACAATTATTCTTGTAAATAAGACTGGCTATAAGATTACTTTAATCGTTTCCAGTCTCGAAGATGGTCGTTGGGTTACACAGTATGATTATGATGGCAACATCAACATAAATTGCATACCACATTCTCTTATAAATGGACAATCCGAGGCTATTTCTAGTGTTTCAAGTCATTTTCTCGGTGGAATAAAAGGTTATCTCTTCTTTGAGATTGGTGATGCTAATTCAAGCAATTTCCTTATCTCCTGGGATGTTCCAACAATCGGCTCCCCTGTATATTCCAGTGATGGACTTTCTGAAAAAAAGTATACCATTAAGTCCCAGAGAAGCCTTAACGATACAGTTTATTATGTTACAGTTGATTCAAAAACTCATTGGAATATGATAGTAGTCTTTTTCACATTCCTCATTTTACTGTGCTGTTGTTTCGGTTTTGTGAAATTCTACTTATCTAGAGAGCAAAAATCTAATTCCTTCGGACAGCAAGGACAACAATCTTATAATCCCTTCATAGAGCAAGGACAACAAGAAAAACATACTTCAGAAGCTGTTTAATGTTTCTTCAGAATGAAGAATTTTTGTATAGCTCTATTTTAATAAAAATATATAAAAACGCATGATAAATTTCCCGCATCTTCTATTGGATCATTCACTAACGATTTGGTGATAACAAACCTAAATTTAGGATAGAAGAATATGTTCATTTCATAGATTATGTTAATAATGATGTTGATCCTGTTTCCCTCGTAAAAGCAATTTGAGTAATGAGAAATCTATCTTTTTGGGTAGGTTTCCTTTGTGCCTGATATCCTTTGGAAAAGATTCTTCGGGAAAATCCCTTTTACACAATCTGAGATGAAATATACTTTGATGATTTTGGAATATCGTACATACAGTATCAAAAAAAACGGAATCTTTTCTAAATAATGATTGAATGAAAATAGATAAAAAGAAAGCTGAAAATCAGAAGTTTCTGTTGATATAAATTTTATACTTTTAGTTGCTTTTAATATTAAGGCAACAATGTCCATTTAAAAACTCAATAAATCAGCAAATTCATTACTATATTACTTACTGCGTCATGTTTTGATGATCACGTGCGTAACAATGATAGTAAACCCATTTTAGAAATATTAATACAATGTATATACAATAAATTATTATTATTAATATATTATTACCATAATAAATCAGTTATACTTTGGGTTGCATACGTAACAATAACCATAATAATAATAGTAAACCCCGTTAATACATTTTTATATATATACAATAAGAATTATTATTAGTAATTGATATATTATTACTTACCACCCACCATTATACTTTGAATAACCATTGTTTAATTGATAGATCTGTTTTTTTTGAAAAAAAAACAAAAATTAATATGATGTTATATACAATAAGTTATTATTATCTATATACTACTATTAACTATGTTATGCTTCTCCATTATCTGTTTTTTTTTGAAATTACACATTTTCTTTTAGTTAATGAATAGATGAATGGAATGAGTGAGCGAAATGAAATAAACCAAGATTCTAATTATATTACTCAAAGATCCATACATTGTTCATAAGTCAACTGTTATTTTAATTATACTGTCTTTTTGATTAGCTCCTATTTTTTAACGATACTAGTTTCAAGATGTAAGTTTGAAATCTTCAAAAAAATATCGGACCAAAAAAATTTTCTATAACATTAAATAATAATAAAATAATTTCTTTCGTAGTCTTTTATATAGTGATAATAAATAGTAATAATTAACATTTTTTTAAGTCATAGTACTAGTAGCTATAGTAGTAGTAATATAGATTATAAATATAATTATTGTAATTTATATTAACTTGTTAAAGGAACAAGCCTTATTTATAATTTTACAAAGGTAAAATCCCTTAACAAATATTAATATTAATATAGAGTTTGTTGCATCAAGCTGTGAATTGATATTTTATAAAACGAATAAAATGCGAATAAAACGAATAATTCGAATAGAATAAAACGAATAAAACGAATAAAACGAATAAAATGCGAATAAAACGAATAAAACGAATAAAACGAATAAAATGCGAATAAAACGAATAAAACGAATAAAACGAATAAAATGAATAAAATGAATAATTAATCATCTTTAAGTATGTTTTGTAAAAAACAAGTAGGAAATAAATATTTAAAATTTTTGGTTAATTGTCACAAAATTTAAAGTTGATAATATTTTATTTTTTTAATATAATAATACAAAATAAATTTAAATAATACATAAATTTCAAAATCAACTAAAATAATAATGCTATAAAAATCAAAACCATTGATCATGTAAGATAAAACAAATGGAATAAGAAGCAAGTGGTTAAAGGATTCTATTTTTCGCTAAAGTGTGGATCACCACTCATTTGGAACGATCCATTAAAACCTATTGCTGTAAGTTCAAAATCACCAGAATCGGTCCAATTTGTAGATTTGAATGCATTAGTTATAAGTCCATCAAGTGGTGGTAGTTCATTGGGAATCTCATTGGCTATCCATTCGGGAATTTTCTCCAATACCGCAGCAACTGCAGCAGCAAGTCCTCCAACAACAGCAGAAACGATAATACGAACAACGACACGTTCTATTGCAGATACAGCACTAGTAAGTCCAATAGTAACCACGGCCAGAATCACGTCGGCGATACCTTCAACAACTTCCACCCAAACAGCCACTTCATGCCAAGTATGTGTTACTGGATCTTTAGCCACCTCATATGTCATCTTTTGGGTACCATCCTCAGCTGTAACTAATTTTATGCGATAATAGCCAGTTGTTTCAGCATAGGCATCAATACCTGGAGAGATTGGAATGTGAACGAACATGTACATTTCGATAGTGTCAACGTTGATAGTCATTGTAAATTTTGTCATCGTTGGATAGTAATCTATCCCAGCATGATTAATTGAATTAAGTGCGATAGAATTTTTGATTTCAATCTCCAGTCCACCGTGAGTAGGTATAAAATCACCATCCGATGACCCCGAAAATACATTTTTCAAGTTGGGCAAGACCATTTGCGAAATAAACAATTGCTTGGAAATACTTAGACAGGCTCGAGAACCGGAAGGAATAGCACCAGCTTCAACTGATTGCACTGCTTTGCTAGAGGAATTGCCGTTTACCATAGAAAGAATTGCAAGAACAGAATCGTCCTCAGTTGCTCCATCAATATATGCATAGCTAGTGGTAGTTGGAAGGAGCCATTGGAAGCCTTCACCAGCAGCTGCTGTAATGTTGAGGTCTACGGTAGCAAAAACATGGGTGAACTGAATCAAGTTATCATTGAACCAGTTTTGTAAAAGGTTTTTTAACGCATTGTTAATGTCATTATTTTGGGTATCTACATTATCTTGTACTATTGATAGAACCACAACAACAGGATCGGTGGATGAAGTGGTGGTGGTTTTTACAACGAGCATATTATGATCCTCATTGTCGTCGTGTGGAAGAAATTTGAGGTGCACTTCGATATAGGCTGTTGCACTTTCCACCGGGATAGATGTGGAACTGGCGACAATAGTACAATTTTTAACAGGAACTTTCATCTTCAATATGGTGCTGGAACCACCCAACGTTACTTGCCAGGCTCCAAAGGTTCCGCTTCCACTGTAGGAAGGACTAAAGATCGAACCTTTTATTGTGGAATTCCAATTTTGTGGGTATTTCTCGGGATGTTTTGTCATTCCATTTACGATTGCCTTGTTCACATCAGCTATGTGCACAGCAAAGACGGTGTCCCAGTTGTTTGTTTGAAACTCTTGCCCTTGAGTGGTTGCTGTTGCATTAAAACTAAAAGTTTTGTTAATTCCTGTTTTTTTAGAAGGTGGTGTGGTTTGAATCCTGAGAACATGTCCTTCGGGGATTTTTCCTACAAGTTTTTCAGCAGTAGTCATTTTGATAAAGGTGAGTAGTTTGGATGTTTCAAATTGGGAATTCTAACGGACTATTTATATATACTTTCAAAAAGACGAACACAATCTTCATTGTAGAACTTGCAATGGAAATATTAATCATTAATATAAACTCCTATATATATTGTCGAAAATTGATAATAAAAAAATCATCACATTATCAAGTTCCCCACGCTTAATATTGTAAAAGATTATTTTTGATATTCAAAGGATCTCCAAAAGTGGAAATTCACAATAGTAATAAATATGTTTGTCATAACCCTGATTCCAATCGTTAATAAAATAAATGTATTATTGTAATTTTACTTTTGTACATTTCTCAGTAAACAATAATTTTACATTTTTGAGAGCGCCACGAGCTCAAATGGTAATTTTCGTCAATGAAATTATCAGAAAACAAAAAAAGAAAAAAGTTGCATAATAAACAAATCATTGAATTTAATCGATTGAATAAATTAATTTGAACAAAAATTTATGATAAAAATCATCACGCCATCCAAGTCTTTATGCTTAATATTGTTTACAGTTGGCAAATGACTATTTTTGATGGTCGCATTTATTCTCTCCCAAAGTGGAAATACACAAAGATCAAGGTTTTATTGCAACCTTAATTCTGATGACTCTGCTTTTATTGTATTTTTCAATCATTAATAAATGTATTATTGTAATTTTACTTTTGTGCATTTTTCTCAAACAAACAATAATTTTACATTTTTGAGAACGGCACGAGCTCAAATGGTAATTTTTCGTCAATGAAACTGCATACATGTTAGAAAACGAAAAATAAAAAAGCTACATAACAAACAAATAATTGAATCTAATCAATTGAATAAATTAATTTGAACAAAAATTTATGATAAAAATCATCACGCCATCCAAGTTTTTATGTTTAATATGGTATACGGTTAGCAAAAGACTATTTTTGATGGTCGCATTTATTCTCTCCCAAAGTGGAAATACACAATGATAAAGGTTTTATTGCAACCTTAAT